CCCACTCCCTGCGAATGTGGCGTGGGTACCGCGTGCTCCTGTTCCGTGCACCTGCCGCCCACACTGAGCGTTTCCGCACTTAGCTGCTTTCCAGTCGGGGGAGGAGTGGTCTGCATTAGGGAGGCACCGAAGACCCGGGAGAGGGCAAGTGAAAAATGATAAAAAGGCTTCGTAAAGCGAAGAAAAGTGCGGGGACGCGGGAGGGGGGGGAGATGAGAGGCTTCATCCATTACTCTTTCTATGCCTTGTTCTTGTACTCGCTCCGTTGAGCTTTTTTAATTTTTATTTTTCTCTTTGCTTGAGGAAATAAGCCACTTTTCTTGATGTCCTCTTTGTCTTCTCTTCTTGCGTCCGCCTCCCTTCCGTTCTGCCCCACCCGTGTCGTTCGCTGTCGTGGGCGGCGGCGGCGGGGAGGGGGGCATCGCCCGGTAAACATATATACGTACGTATGCGCTTTGGCGCGCCATTCTCTGTGGGGCGGCGCACGGGAAGGGACGTATCTGTGCGAGTCAGACGCGGCGCGTGTGTCCCTTTTTGTTTTTCCCTTTTGCCACTTCTGTGCGGAGATCTCTGTAGGGATTAGTTGTCTAAAGGCGCCAACTCTGCCAAGGAAACAAAGTGGCCTTCGTTCTTGTGAGAAGGAAAAAGGGGGGAAAAACAAGGGCAAAGCCAAAGTAAAGACTCTACGCGTCAAAAGCAGCGCTGAGGAGAATTCCAAAAACAAAACAAAAAAGCCGGAAAGAGTAGAAAAGGCGGAAAAAGAAAACACTCTTTTTTGGTTGGTTTGATTGATTGATCTGGCCGTATCGGGTGGGCGGTCTTTGGCCTGTGGAAGTGAAGCGCACATAGTTAGCTCCCGGCGGCGAGGGGAAACGTGAGGCGGGCGGACACACATCTACTGCAGCGTACAAGGACGGGTGGCGGGAAAAGGAAACAACCGCAGCAGGAGCTGTTAAAGGAGGTAAATAAAAAAAAAGGAACGTGGGGGAGAATTGAGCCAGCGGAGGCCAACAAGGCAGCCTCCATGTCGCTCACGATGAATGTAAGTGCCTCCAACTCTTTTGGGTCGAATCACGGGTGGCACTCACGACAAACTCCTTCGAACGCAACGCTGCGCCGTGCGCGGACGCCTCAGCAGTCAGCGGTGAAGTACGTGGAGGCGTTGGACCATCTTAGCACGAAGCTGAAGATCCCCATCACTGCCGTGGAGCCAACGAATGCGTTGCAAGATGATGGACTTGTGCCGGGCATTTGTCGCCTGTTTCTTGAAGGCCGCTGCAGGCAAGGCAACCGTTGCTTTCAGGTTCACGTGCATCATGATGTTCTGGAGTATCTCCGCAAAGAAACGCTTGAGACCCCGTCTTGCTGTTACCTGCATGGCGCGCCATGCAATTATGAGGGGCTGCCTTTCACGCTAACCGTCAACATTGGAAGCAAAACCGTTGGGCTGCACTCCCTGAACCCGACAAACTGCCTCTGGAGCATATACAACGAGCATGGAGAGAGTCAACTTACCGTGTCGAAGGGCCGTGTCTGTCGCGAACACCGACGCGGTTTGTGCCGCTTTGGTGAGGAGTGCGGTTTTCTGCACATTTGTCGAGAGATCCCGCTTGACGGCGACGAGTACATCAGCGCAACACCCGTACCTATTCCACGCGTGCCACACAGGGCATCTCACTCTGCTGGCGCTCCTGCTTCAGCCGCAAACTACATAAATCATAACAATGGGGATGTCGCTGGTGATAGTCACTCACAACATGTCTTTGGATTCCAAGCTGAGGACGCCAACGGGACCGCGCATTCCCCCAATGCTAGCAGCTTCAATGCCTGTAGTTTCAACGGCGGCTATCCTAATGTTGCCTTGAACACCCACTACGGCAACTATAATAATCAGTGCACTTCCCTCCTCTATGGAGAGAGCGGGTGTGGTTCCTTCACAAGTGCGTCTCGTAGCCGTACGTCGTTCAGTTACCGCATGAAAAATATGGCCAGCGGCGACGGCGAGGACGGGGCGGGGCGGGGCCCGTTGCTGCGTCCATTGGGAGGGGCTGCTCCCTCTCGGGGCTCGACGAGCCAGCGGCACAACCCATACGGCGATTCCTCTTCCTTTCAGTAGAGATGAACGCTAACGCAGTAAAAGGGGGTGGAAAGTGAAGAGAAATGGAGCGGGGAAGAACGAAATAAGGAAAGAGATATAAAAACACACTAATATGCACCGAAGCCGGCAGCGAGGGCGTGGTTCGTTTCCCACTTTGGTTCAGGCGCCTTGATCTTTAAAAAAACTAACGACTACGGAAAGTACGATTCAAAAGCTAGAGGAATACAAAGTGAAACGGGCATTCACGGGGATTCCACCTCTCCTCCTCCCTACACATATGAGGTTAAATACGCATATGTACGCATACCTGTTTGTGTACGTATGTGTGCACGCATACATCCCGTGAGTCCCACGCCCTAGTAAGACACGGATGGATTAAAAGTAAGGGAAAAGAAAGATGCTGGGAATATGGCGTGAACGGATCCTGTTGCTGAACAGGGAATTTGGAAGCAGCAGGGGAGGAAGAGAAAGAGTGACAAGTGAAAATATTCTTCTAACTCGCAAACTCTTTTTGCTTATGTCTAAAGAAGTAAGGAGGGAGAGGGAAAGAATGGGTGCTTCCTTCTTTTTTTCGTTTTCCACTTGTTGTTGTTTCTGCTGCTCGACGACCCACTCGCACGAAGTACGGGCTGAAGCAGCAGGAATGCGGCGACTTGATTTACACGGAAAAAAAAAGCAGAAGACGTTACTGTGAAATGTATGGGGGCGGGTACAGTGACGTGACGGCGTTTTTATTTCTGTTTTGTTTCTTGGAATTCGCAGTATTTTTCTATTTTTTATGCTTCTATTTCCTTCGTCCTGGTGCGCTGATGTCCTCTGTTTTTGTCGGGGGTGGGGGGAACAAAAAAGAATGAGGCGCAGGGGCACTATTCTTTCCCACTCCCTGCGAATGTGGCGTGGGTACCGCGTGCTCCTGTTCCGTGCACCTGCCGCCCACACTGAGCGTTTCCGCACTTAGCTGCTTTCCAGTCGGGGGAGGAGTGGTCTGCATTAGGGAGGCACCGAAGACCCAGGAGAGGGCAAGTGAAAAATGAATAAAAAGGCTTCGTAAAGCGAAGAAAAGTGCGGGGACGCGGGGAGGGGGGGAGAGTGGAGAGGCTT